GTCCCATTTGGATAAAACAGCAGAATGATGATTAGAATGTTGAGAGCAGATTCAAGCAGTAGATAGCGCGTTTACTGACTGAAGTTACAAGAATAATGAGTAGATGCATCAGCACCACTGCTCGCGACATTCAGCCATATCGGTGACATCGGTTACCACAATCTCGGGGTTGCCAGACAGGGAGTCTAACGGGACCTATGGGAACCAGTCTCCTGGTCAGGGTTTTCATACCCTCATGACCACCCTTGATCTTTTTTCAACCGTTACCTGCCTCGGCAAACATCGCTCGCCCTGGCAACCTATCTGGTGACATGATGCCATGCTAAGCGTCACCTTAATCCAGTTATTGTTTGTACAACCACTAAATTTGCACTAAATTTGCATTTTGGCACGATGGTTTTGGTTGGTGAAGCAACATGGGAAAGAATTAGGAAGCTGGGATCATTATCACGATAGAGCTAGAACATAGTGTTATCTCATTGCATAATAAAATACAATTAATAATGACCATCGCCACACTATAAAACTTACCGGTGCCCATTCTTTTCGCATTTTGTCCAAGGCCTTCTCCAAACTGTGTTCCTTGGTAGCCGCCTCAGAGATCATATCAAATTTGGGAATATGAGGTTCGAGATTCATATCCACCAGTTTGGCCAAACACATGCCCTCCTCATTGCGAAGTGTGTAACCAACCACATCGGAAATTTGTACCCAGTGCCGTTCACGCAGACCTGGATTGAACAGGGTTCGAATCAGAGGCAGGTGTTCTTTGAACTCTTCCACTTTACCTCGTACCTTGGCTGCAATCTTCCGCGGAGCCGGAAGTGAATCGAATGATTTTTCCAGTTTGTACAAAGTACGGTATTGATTGGAAACTTCCGCATCCACTTGTTCTGGATCCACTTTATCCATAGGACCATCCATCCATTCACGATATTTGTTGTTGAATTCGACTGTGGTCTCGTACAGTTTGAGAAATGGACGTAAAGTGTTTTGAACTTCACCACGTATGGGATATGTGGTTGTATCCCATTTAAGTGCCTCTTCTTCCGAGTTGAACTGTTCAATTTTAGCCACTGCCAATTCCAATTTGTTATCCAGTGCTTGGGCTTTTTTCAGATATCTATTGATCTCATTCAAATCACCCAGACCCTGGAATTCTTCCACTTGTCTGCGATAGGACTCTAACTCTTCAAGGAATCGTTCTCTACGGTAGCGCAGACCAATCTCAAACTCTTCTCGTTTCACGACCGCCGTACGCCGGTTTTCCTCGAACACATCGGTCATACGCATGTGCCATTCAAACACTTGACTATTGATACGCATATCGGACGGATTCAGTTGAGCGTGATCCATTAGAAATAGTAGACGATCTTTGGATCGATCCAGTTTACGCTCCAATTCATGCATGGTCACTTTCTCTGTCTGGTTTACGAACTCGGTCAGTTGCATCATGTGCGCGATATCGGTCGGAACAGTCAGTGCCTTTGATGCGATTAATTCGTACTCTTTGATCAACCTTTGGTAGATCATTTCAAAAGTTGCAGACGAGATAAGGAGAAAATTCAAGACCTTTTTAATCATGATTATTTGAGTGAAACGTTTACTAAACAATATGTTCGATCATATTGATCGGTCAAACAGAATTGATAGAATGTTGTTGATTCTTTTAGTGGACTGTGTCAGATTCAAGCCAAAGAAAACCAGATTGAAAAAGCTGAACGCTCACACACAAGACACATAAGTGCATGCATCACAGCATTTTGTTACACACCGTTGTGTGATGAACATAGACACTGTTCATTGATGGCAACCAACAGTCTAATTCGTGAATCTTAGCGAACCATACCGTATAAAGCCCAATAAAATAGATGTGACATTGTGCGGGACGACAGAAAAGCTACCTATTACTGAAGTTGTTCAGCGATGACAGAGTTTGAACCTCAAATCTCAAGGGCCCAAAACGAGCCAGTGATAATAACCTAAACTACTTGATCGCCACGGCTCGTAAATAAATCGAGGACATAAATACCGCGGGGCGAGAACAGGTGCACAGGGGAACAAGTGCACCATAAATTTTCTGTAGATGTCATTCCACAGAAAACACCGGGTCGACGGTGGCTCATTTTTCCGTTTTGGATTATCATATCCTGGTTCCATGTAATCATTGTTTCCTGATTGAAATGCTCCGAATCAGTTATTTGTAAAGAACAGAGACAAGTGAATGGATACCAGTAATTGGAAGAGCAAGTTGATGCACTTAATTGCATTTCAATTTTCGGAAGATCATAGCGCTTTCCATACTGGCAATAAACTAAGCAAGGCCAATGCTGCTTTCTGTATTAAAATAGTGAAAGTGAGGACTAGACAACCAGAGAAAGAGGTTGATATTTGAATCGATATACTAGAGGTATTCTATTTGCTATTTGCCAAAACAGTGATAAGACTATAGCATGCGGATTCCTTTAACGTGATTCATGCGACAGTTACGACAGTAAAAAATACGAGGTGAGATGGAGATTCAGAAGAGGAATAGAATGGGTGAATTCAAGTGGGAGAACATAGATGCGCACAGGTGCATCAGGACTTATTGTACAACAAACAGTCAATTTCACTGCTACGGACAATCACTAGTTTAAAATTGCAGATCATTAGCGCTGAGTTCTGCATAGCCTGAACCCAGCTATGCTTTAGAATTCGGTCAATATATTTTGGCCCAAAAGTGCGACCTGCTCTGCTATATAAAAGTGCGCGGAGAAGTACCGATATTGACAAAGTCTATAGTCCATTGTTCATCTCCAATGACTATGATCATTGTACTATGACCAACTGAATGTAAAATTCTGGTGACTAATCTTTAGGCTAGGGAGTATCCTCAATCGCCTCCCAAGCATAATTATTTTGGAACCAATATTACCTCTTTACCCCGGCAGGGATAGGGTTTTACTCACGTGCAAGTTCTCAAATAGCCCTAATCTAAATCTCAGTTTCACTACTACATACTCAATCAGTAGTTAAAAATTACAGATATGTTTTCTTACATAGCTGTGCTCAACACCGCCCCACTTGCTATCCGATTAACATAGTCAGAATGAACGGAACTCACGCTCTATTCGTGGTCCGATGATCTTCCAGTATCCGGTCCAAAAGTCGATCGCAAATACCCTCGGCACGTTTGACCAAAGCCCGAATCAGATCATCACAATGAATTTCAAATAACCCCAGCTTGATCGTACGTCGGGATTCATACTGAATTCGTTTGGCCAACCGGGTATATTTAGTCAACTCACGAGCCAAATCCTCAAAACTTGGACCTTCCACAGCTGGAACAACTTTCTGTTTCGGTGATCCGGAATCGTCCTCTTCTTCCTCTTCGTTTGGCTCCGTCTCGGAACCACCGTCTGACGAATTGCGTTTCGGTTTCTCGGGAACAGCATCCGGCTGTTTTGGGTTCAACATTTCTTCAATATCACGTTCCGCCTAGCGAGGGGGGGGGAGGGGGAGAGAAAAGTGGTGGATTAGTCGAAAATGCAGTCGTGACACGGAATCATACTATGGGAGCCTCACATATCCGGGATGTATCTTCCAACGGTCGGATGCAGCCCTGAGGGAGCACAACCAACCCAATACTTGTAAACTAATGTGAGGGCGATTGGCAAATCTATCTTTGATGAGGATGCATATGCTAAATAAGGAAAGCCACCCACTTGGATTTGTAAAACTGATTATTTTAGAATCAGAGAAATGGGCTCCGTTCAACTCATAGTAAGCTCCAAGTCTCCCAAAAATTCATTTTTATCCGATGAGATAGCCCATCTCACTGCGATTCGTTGGTGAGAGTGCTCCATAAAAAGTATCCAGTGAAAGGGAAATATCTAGGTCTACAACCGAACAGGAGCAACGAGCTCATCTAGGGAAGCTGAAAAATCCTCACTGCAAACGTCCCAACGAGTGTCACGTGAGCTGGGTCCGGGTTGCCTGATCAATTATAGATGACAAGTTGTGCCAATCTATCACGTCTTACGGGTTCAAGATCAAGCTGGTCGGGAAACAACCGCCCCCTCCCCTTCGCCCTTGTGGATTATACCATCTGACTGCTTTGTGGGTCAGACTTTGACTGGGAGACGTTCCCTAAGAAAATCGCTTGTGACTGTACTAAAGAGAATTGAACCCGATCTAAGTGTTCAGTTTTGTTCCCTTCTTTACCCGATCTTCTTCAGTAGATAGTCGATGAAGAAGGTCCTTCAACTGGTATTTTTGTTGTGCACAAATAAAAAAGATTTTGAATTCATTTAAAAGACTTTTATCTCATTCAATCAAACAGATGATTCGACGGTAAATTTTGATGAAGTAGAAATCTTTCGACCCGCTAGCTTCTCGGGGAAACGGGTAACTTGTACGGTGTTAGTGGAGCCTGAACATGCAACTCCCGCGTCCATGTGATCATGAATTAGATTGCTTCGTCACTTGATCTTATTTACCATATTAGTGGAAGGCAAAATGAGTGAAGGATTGAAAGTAGATGGAATTATTGTGACATATATATATTCCTCTACAGTCGCACCATAATTCATTTGGAATCATTCTGATGACAATCTGATCCCCTCCAAAGTCTCACAACAACCTGTCAGGTATTCGATACACATCCGTTAGTACATTAGACAGTATGCAATTCCAATGCAAATGGAACAACAAACTAGGAACAAAGAATTCACAGATATGTTAGGATAAAAGTTTGAGAGAAACATAACTATTGAACGCGAAAACATGTTTAGTGTTAAATTCCTCGCAAAAATCATCATCGCAATGTGTCAATGCTGAACCAAACAGGAATTGAATTAAACTAATTATTTGGACCGCACCGGTGGCTATAACAGTAATGTGTTTTCATGAACTATTATAGATGAACATTCGATGCACTTACTTGGCGGCTCACGAGGAACTGATATTTATCGTATTCCCTTGTATGGGATTCCGGACCTTTTGCCTCAATGCGCAGCATTCGTTTCACACTGGCTTTGTAGGTTTGTAAAATTTCCTCCAAAATGACCGGATGTAGAGCTGCATTATCTGCTGAAGTAGTTTGCTGGGAAATAAATCAGTTCAGAAGAAACGGTCGTTTTACTGAAACGACAGTGCACATCAAACAATCATTAACCATGTGCTTTTGATTGATAATACCGGGACTCATATCGCGTTGATGTTGAGCGCCACAAGAAAAAAAAACAATCAAATATGAGCAGTCAAATGAAACAGAGACTGAGCTAATCAAATAGTGATTTTGTGAACAGGGGACAAAAAAGTAGTAAATAAAAAGAACAAATTGGGGGCACAGAGGGAAATGACCAAATATGGTCATAAACTCTGCACTATCTGACCGATCGCCTCACTACACATGTGCAATGCGACGTGGAGCACGATATCCTAGCCCCGATGATCTGCGTTTCCGTAACGGCCATATCTCCGTATCATATAGAAGAACAAGGGGACAACTGCAACATCAATTACACCCTTGGTGGATAAATGAATGTTTCCAGTTGACAAACACCAACCGAAGCTTCTCTATGCATGCCGAAACTTCATCCTCGATTCTTTTGCCAATGTGTTTGTGCATGTGTGTGGAATTCTTACACCATCTTAGGTCCAATCATGTTGCCAACTCACAAATAATGAAATAGAATAAGTGGTGTTGCGTACACGAGAAAGACAACACACAAACCTTGATGTCCGTGCTTTCGTTTGTACTACACAAGGTAATCTTAAAGTTCTTCAGTTTACATTTCTATCCATTTGGCAAATCGTGCACTTAACTTTGCCATGCAGTTGCTACCCAGACTACCGAAATGTATAAAACATTTTAGGGCA